GCAGTGGACACTCCACTCCCAACTGGACTCCTACTTGGTGCATCCACTCTGGGTTTTCCTCTTCAGCTTTAAAGAAGCTTTCCAAGAAGCTGAACCCTATCCCCAAAACAGGTTCATCGCGTCTGACTGTTCTTATTCAAGTTCAGACTATAACCCAGAGCAGATCTACTGGTTCCCATGGCGGCCTCTACAACCCTACAAAGAGAGGCCTGGATGTCGAAGGTTAAGGTACGCTCTCCATGTTCAGAGGCACTCTATCCCTGGTGCAAGAACTCACAGCTAATAATCCTGAATTTGGGACTGGGAGCGGGTTCTTACTTTTAGACTCGGCTCGGTTCAAAGGACGGCCAAGGCGAACAGAGCACCAGGGGGTCAGGGGATGCTAGAGGTTGTCATACATCCTTAAAGTCTTCTCCAATTGCTGGCTGACCCTCTGGTAGAAGATGATCTGCTGCTTGAGGTAAGACTGCATCATCTTCTTGAAGTCCGAAACCCGCCGCTCATGGAAGTGGTTCATTTCCGCCTGCAGGGCAAAACCCACCACGCGGCAACGCTTCCGGATCCCGTCTGCCTCGTCCTGGTCCATCTTCCCTTCATCGCTCATCCGCTGGCTCTCCTTCACTTTGGCAAAAGCCCCTGAAAGGAAGGAGAGAGAAATCAAAATGGTGGCAATTCATAGAATCAAAGACCTAGAAGCGACATCGGGGTTTTGCAGCGTACATTTTATGCATCCTTGTTGTTGTGTGCCTTCAAGTCGTTCCAAATTGCAAACCTTGATTTTTGCCATTTTATATCAGGGACACCATTTTGCTATACCACTGTATTTAATGGGACTTGAGCATCCACGGATTTTGGGATCCACGGGGGGGGGTTGTCCTGGAACCAAACCCCAGCAGATACCAAGGGACCACCGCATACAGATGTGATGTATCTGTCTTGCTTCTTCTAATACTGAACTTTGTGTGGTAAGTGCCAATAGAAATAAAGGCAAAAATAAAAGCATTGAGGAGGAGGAGTAAGCATACCAGTGCAAAACCCCTAGGATTTGCAAAAATACCAATTTTTGGAAAAAAGTCTAAAGTACCGTTGAGAGGGAGGAGTACACATACCCATTCAAAGCCCCTAGGATTTGCAAAAATTGCAATTTTTGAAAGAAGTCTAAAGTGCCAAATAACAAACAGTCAAGTTCAGCGGCCATAAAACATGTCTGGTGTTCATCTTTCTTATCCGATCCTGACACATTCTTATCTCATGCTAATAAAAACTTATTTAGAAATGCTAGCATTCTCTCTAGTCCCATGTTTCACATTCCAGTGCAGTAATGATTAGCACGATGTTTGCAATGCTTTAACCGCTTACTGATTTCTCACTTATTTGTCTCTGTTTTGGAAGCTCAGAATTGCAACATTTCGGCTCCGTGCTCTTGTTTTGCTTCGGCCAGCTGTGAATCAGTTTCCTCTGTAAAGTCCCGAATGTATGCCCTCTGCAACTGTGGTTAACATCAAGAGCTTAGAAAAGTTACTTTTTTGAACTGCTGCTCCCAGAATCCTTCAGAATCCTACAATTTAAAAAAGTAATATTTCCAAACACTGGTTAGAATAATGGACTATGATTAGAGATCCAGCAATGAACCTTCCTGGGTGACCTTGTGCCAGTTACTATCTCTCAGCCTAATCTATCTTGCAAGGAGCCTTAAGGTCACCATAAAGGTGCTCAAAAACAACAACAGATTGGAAACCCATTGAGTGACTTTGGGCAAGTCACACTCTCTCAGAGGAAGGCAAAGGCAAACCCTTTATGAACAAATTTTGCCAAGAAAATCCCATGATAGGTTGCCATAAGTTGGGGAAAAAAGGCTCTTATATATGAGCCTAAAGCCCACAAGGAGGGAAGAAAATGATTCGAACTTTGTTGTCCAAAGTCATAGTCCAATGCTCAAAAGACAACACCATGCAATTACACTCTCTCAGCCTCAGAGGAAGGCAATGGCAAACCCCTCTGAACAAACCTTGCCTGGAATACCTGTGACAGGTTCACCATAGGGTAGCCATAAGTCCAAAAAGGACATGAAGGCACACGACAACAGCAAAAGCCTGCAAAATCAGCAAGTGTGCATGTCACACAACAAGCAACACTTGCAGACATTCCTTCTACTACAAAGTTACGAGCGCCTTCTCAAGTTTTTACTCTGGGAACCCTGCATACATCGCAGGAGACAAGATGAAGAAGGTTACATTGCAACGGTCTCATTCGGTTCGGCTTTTTCTGGAGATCTGAAGACTTGAACCCACGGGAACTGCAGCTGTGAATCCTAAAGACTCAACTGACACCCCACCCCCACGAATACAAACCTATTTTTTTTAAATAAAAGGCAATAAATAATTCAGATGGACCACTTAATGCACCAAGCCATCACTGCAAACAGACTGTGCTTGGCTTTTCCTGCAAAATCCTTCTACATCCTCCCCCTCCTTGCACACTGGACTTACTCATGTGTAAAATTGCATCCGATCTGAGTGTGTGTGTATGTGTGCAAATGCATACACAGAAACAGACAGAGGAATGACATTGTCAGAGCACAGAATCCAGGTCATCTGCTCTTGAGACCGGTCTAATCTGAAGCGTACTTCTATGTCTATAATTAATGAGCTGCTCTGTTTTTCTCAGCGCACTTTGTACTCATTCTGGATCTGTACACCATCCAAATGTTTCTATTAGATAGATAGATAGATAGATAGATAGATAGATAGATAGATAGATAGATAGAACCACTGATGTTGAGTATTCATGAGTAATAAATAACTCAGGGATCCTGTTCAGAAAAATTCCTTGTGACTGTCAACCTGTTCCATTGTTAACAGGATAGCTTTTCTTATTCTTCCCCACATTGCTCCTTTTTTATTTAATGTTTATTTTATATTATGAGTGATCAAAGAATGTTGTAAGGCACCTTGTTTTAAGATGGATGGATGGATG